GAAGCGCGGCCGTCTTTTTCACCCTCACAGCGGTGAAGTCATCGCCTTAGTCAACACGACTGGATCTCTGACCACAAGTTGTGGGTGTGTGCTGCTCCCATGACCTACAAGAAGAGATATTTCTTTAACATGGCTGCTTTAAAGTGTGTGGGTTAAACACTGGAAACAGGTCTGTGAGTTAGTTTAAGTTCACATATGGGCTACATGAGAAGAGAAACTCAGTGGGGGAGTGGAGTATGAAAGGTATGTACATTTTTCTGCTAGAGATCAAAGAATGCATTATTCATTACAGGAAGTGTAGGACGCAGAGATTCATGCACACATGGTCGGTCTAAAATATCTCAGCCACTGCTGCTGCATCACATTGACTGTATTATATATGTTTACACAAACGTCAATTAATCATTTACAGAAAAGAAGTTAAGTTTGTCCAGCAGGTTTGTCCCTTCTTTTGAGGGACGATTTTTCAAATTATTTTTAGCTGTCAATAAGATGGGAAGAAAGAAAAACGGGCAGATCTGTATTTTAAAGAAGATGCAACCGAGGAATGTTTGAAATTTAAATTGGTAAATTTTCTGTTTATGGACAAATCAACAAGGGATATTTTTAATTAATTCTAAGCTGCTATTGTTTTCTTTTCAACCTCAAATATTTTGGCATTATATCCTTCATTTTAAACCTCTTGTACTATAATATATTTTATTGTAGAGCTGCAACAATCACATTTTTTACTTAAACAGAAATAATTTAATCGCAAAATATTTCAATAGGAAAAAAAAGTTCTATTGCTGGTTCCAGCTTCTTAAATGAAGGTTTTCTTTTCTTTCTTTCTTTAATGACTTGCCTATGGGCACTGGGAAATTGTAATGAGCGTTTTTTTCAAGCTTTCTGACATTTTTTACGATGAAAATTTGAGCTTGACCGATGAATCGGGCAGCCAATAATATCGGCCGATATTAGCATATCCAGTTACAATAAATGTGTACATATATATCTATCTCTAAAGATCGAACATAGATTAAGAAATATATCAGCGGAGATATTGGTATCTGATTTTTTCAAAACAACATCGAGATTGGTATTGACCGATTGGTATTTCGGTCAGGCCCTGATGAAGATATTTTTAAACTGCAGTCTTACCTGACTGACCTGATGTACTATGACTAATTATTTTACAAAGATTAAATAATCATGTTTTCAATGATTTAGTCCGCTGGGTAAATAAAACAAAGGTGAACGTTTGCAGACCCAGCAGGGTTAACTTTTAACTAATGAATGAATGAATTAATCATTATTCTCAATCATTTTCACACCATGCCAAATCAATCCAATCAGATGTAATATTTTTGTTTAGCTCCAGTAAAGTGTGATAATCATATTTTATTTGAACATTGAAATATACCAGTACTGTTAGTAAGTAAAGTGCTATCTTTCCATATACTTCTATACATTACGCCATTACCTCTTCCGGCGTGTAGCTGATTATATTTCCAGTATGAGCCTCACATCAGAAGTACACATCAGGGATTCCATGCAGCTCCTGTTCAAAAGCTTACTGCTGCCCCCAGAGCCTGCGGTCTGCCCACCAACAGTCGTAAAGAGACAGCAGGGACCCCGGGGTCCCGGTTCTTTCAGTCTTTAAGGACTCTGAACGGTCTCTTTGAGAGATGTTTGGTCTGGAAACACTGGAGCGTTCCACCCACAGCCTGTCTGCTCTGCGTCTCCCTGCTCTTCATCACGCGGACAGAGAAGGCGTTTACGTGTTTAACAGGCTCCACTTTACCTTCCCCCGACACTAGATGGCTGACAGCTGAGGAGTCTAGGGTCAGAGGTCAGAGCCCCAGTATTTGGTTATTAAAGGGGATTTCCAGGTTTCTGGAAGAAAAAGAGAGTGGAGTGGATTGTAATGGAGGCAGAAGGGTCAGAGGTGATGGTGTGCCGCACTCTGAGCAGTTCATATCACTGGGAAAAATAGAAGTCCTGTTTAAAGACACTCCACAAATATCCCAGTTTAGGATCAATCACGAACATTTATCTATACTCAAATACAACAAAAAATCAATTTACAATTTTATTTATTATAACAATAATAATAATAATCTCGATACCAGAATTTTAAACTTGGATATGATACTAATTTTAATAATATTAATATTAATTAATACTAATATTAATTCCTATTTGGTTACCATGGCAACTAAAACAGAAGTCCTATTGACAAGCAACGTCTATACACTGTCCAAATTGCTCACATGCGTTATTTTGCTTAAGTATTTGTGCATTCTAAACATTACTGCTCTTTTTCTATGACTGAAGGTCTGAAGATTTTTTAAGTTCTGGTACTTTTTGATACTATAGTATCGACTATTCAAATATTGGAGACTGTCTTGTTTTACAACACTTAGTTTCTAAAGGTACTTGACATCTTGACAACAGATCACATTTTAATATTCACTTGACGGGAATCTCAGTGTCTGAAACGAGAGGAATTCATGTCAAGGTAAATCAGAATTCGTTGCCAAATTTCTTTAAGATTTTCTTTTGAGACGTCAAGTTCTTTAGGTGATAATTTGGCTTTTGCTGAGTTTTTTTTTGTAATGTTTATGTTTTTAATGACTCCATACTGTCCACATATTCAGCTCTGCCCTTTCTTTATTCCCTAAAAACAGGAGGCATACATTGTCTTCTATTCCCTCCGATTACTCTGCATTCATTCATTAATGAAAAACTGAAGTGAAACAAAAATCCTTCAGATGTTTCATTCGCCCTCCAGTCCTCAGTACGCTGCCGTGCAGCCTGTACTGAAGCGTGTTAACTCTGTGAGGGGGAGGCGGTGGGCAGCATCACTGACCCCACATGACTCCACAGCTCGGCGCTGCTCCTTTTATCGTTGCCTCAGTTGGCCACACTCCGTGTCTCTGTCTCATCCGTACTGCCATGTGGATCTTTGTAACCTCACTCTGTTTTATCAGATGCATTTTATAGTAAATAGAGCAGGGTTAGATTATGTATACGGTTAACAAGCCAGCCCCTTTCTGAAAAACGCTTAAACATTATACTTATTAATGCCGCTGATGTGTTAGGGGTTGTTTTTTACTCCTTCCTCTACTGTAAAGGTCCAGTTTAAATTGTGGAAGTGTTAAAGGGATACTTGTCTGCAGTGTTTCTGGCAGAGTGTATGAAACATGCTCACAAGCAAGTTTAATGAGTCCTTGTTTGTTTCTACCTGACTGTTCATGCAGTCTCAGAGTGGCTGTGGAGACATCTGAGGAAGAAACTGTGGCAGTATGTAGGAATGGGAGTACAGGGAGATTGGTGACAGTATTTAATACACATTCAAAGCTGACACTCAGATGGCATAACTGGACATGTATTATGGTCTGGTGGCCACACTGTGGCGACTGTTCTTATACTGCCAAGTACTTGAGCCAACAGACACTAATAGTTTGGCAAACTTCTGATTACCAGGCTTTAAGCTAAGGTTTACTTTTAGCGACTAAAAGGGAAAATGAAAGTAGAAAATAGAGAGACTGAGAGAGAACATTCACTACAAAGATCTTGAGTTTTCAATTTAACGGACTATGATATATTTTGGAATTATGTTAATGTCTTGTTGTATTTGAAGTGTCACAGTTAAGTAAACTTTTGTTTGATTTCTTTGTCCTTATTAATTAAACATATACTGAAATGTGTGCTATCAGAACATGTGCTTTCTGCCATTAAATTTAGGGGCTTGGTGGCCCATGGGGGCATATTTCCTTACACAGGAAACTCTTGAGGTTAGGACCAATAAGGATCATTGATTCAGCATGTAATAGCGGACAAGGTAACAAAACAACAGCTCCCCCCAGAGACCAGAAAACATGAAGAGAACTGAAGGAGTCAGCCTATTGGATAATTTGATCAAGATCATGTATAATAGAGAGGATTTTATTGTAATTGCTTGCAATGCTTTCAAATAGAGATCCACAGTTGCAGTTCTCTGTGATCTTTGTTTTTGTGCATGCAGAGTCTCTCTGCAGTTCTGCTTGTGTAGAAACTCTTGTCAGATAATGTGTGCGTTACACTTTTGTGTGGAGGTGAGTGTGTATTTGTGTGTTTACGGTGCAGCATTGAGTGCTGCTCTCATGTCAAAGTCGGCCTCCAGGGAAGCCGAGGCAACAACAGAGTAGAACCAGAACAAAGAGTGAATAATGCTCAGTCGGCTGCAAAGAACCAGCCCGAGGACAACAACAGAACCGGAAAGTAGTCAGAAGTGCTTTTACATCACTCTCCTGAAAATTTAATGAAGATTTAAGGTGGACTTCCTGAAGTTGCTTGTTCACACGTGCACCCCACAGCTGGGCACTGTGCCCACTCAAGGTGAATTTTCCTGATTATATCCTGCTGTGTTCTCACGTCAACTCCAAGTGGACAATTTAATAAAATATTCCGGGTAAAGTCAGGTTTAAAAATATGGCTATTTTCCATCACACATGCAGCTCGCCCCAAAAATGTCAGGAAGTTTCAAGGAGTTTCTTGCAAATGTGAAACCACTAAGACAGAGAGTGAGAGAAGGAGAGGAGAGGATGAAGAGGAGGGGGATTGAGTATAAGAGCAAGGAGACAAATTGGATCAGAAGAGAATAAATGGAAGGCTGAAGGGAAGGAAGAATTTTCATAAATACTGGATTGGAAATGAAGAGTGAAAGAGCTTTGTGTACTGCTGTCAATTTGTCACACTAGCACTGGGAACGACCAGGAGGTAGTCACACACACACGCATGCACGCACACACATGCGCACACACACACACACACACACACACACACGCACAAAACATTGTTCTTTTATTCTATTTTCCTTCCACCCAGATGTCCACTCAGCAAGGATCCAGATGGCCTGGATAGCGAAGAGGTGCTTTTGGAGCACACACAAACACACCCAGACATAAATATACACACACACACACACACACACACACACAAAGCAGCATGGCCGTGTTTTTCTCCCTCTCACAGGGAGGATTAACTCTCCTCATTAGGACTCCCCCGCCTCTCCCCATCGTCTCTCCTCCCCTGACGGCCTCCCTCGCTCTTATTGGCTGCCTCTCCCAGGAACACCGCTGACTGGATAGTCGTGACAACAGGACACAGGAGAGAGGGAAGGAGGTGGAACGGGTTGATGTTGCCACGGCGATAGAGGAGGGGACCACTCGTCAAATCATTGAGCTAAGGCTGAAAAACAGTAAAGTGGAGGGGTGAGGAAAGCGGGTGAGGAGGAGAGGAGTGGAAAAACAACAACAACTACAGCAAGGGATTAGGCATCGAGCGAGCAATCATGAAGTCCATTTAGGACAAAGCGGCGTTAAAAATCCCCCCAGACTAAGGTTGTGATCATCAGAGATGAGCTGACAGTCCGATTGGACAGCTGCTTTAGGTCTGTGTGGGAAAAAAATAGAAGCACACAAAGGAAGGAAGAAAGAAAGAAAGCAGGTGAAAATGGGAAAATATCAGCTCCTGTTCAGTCTCTCGACCCTGATAATGTGATGTTTCACTGCTGGCGACGATGAGCGAGAGGAGGTAAGCTGGTTGTAGTGATGCCTGAGGCACAGGAGTAGAAGCAGAGAGAGAGGGAGGGAGGCTGGCATTATTGGATATGAAGAGCATGCGTCAGCACTAAAGCAGCCAAAGAGAGAGAGAGAGAGAGAGAGAGAGAGAGAGAAAGGGTGACAGCAGAGTTGTGCGAGATGCAGGGCGAGGTGGAGTAAGACTGCGATTGAGGGTGGAGGTGATTACCGTGGCTTGAGACGGGACAACAGAAATCGAAGGGTGCTGGATTTGTCACCTCCAGTGCCACACCTCGGCTGCATCATCACACCGTTCCATGACATCAGCAGCCTCTACACACAGGACTATATGGATTCTTTGAATGTATTCGGAAGGATCAGCTTCACACCTCAGATGCTTTATGGAGATATAATCCACTGATGTGTGAAAAGAACAAACTCTGCACGATTTATAAAAAACAGCCTGTTTTTTTTTGGCTTTCAGAGGAGGAAGATTCCTCGCCTGCAAGGAAAGCAACATAAAATAGGAGGAATTATTGTCCGGAGCTAGACAGAGGAATGCATCACTAAATCCCATCTCGATAAAGATCAGCTCTTGTGTTTTTACAGACTGGTCAGTCAGTGAATGCAGCACTGTTATCAGTGTGTGAAAATGTGGAAGTCATTGTCCGTCCATTTTCAAGAGGAGCTGACTAAATGAAGAGGACAATGAAGGTGTGACTATTTGAGGTAGACGCATCATCAGTGAGAGATTACAAATATTATGCTCTGCTGTCTGAGACAATGCACTGACATGCAGAATATTGTTCTTCTAATGATACTAGAACGAAACCTCAAAGCAGGCTGATTGACTGGCCGACTGACTGACTGAGAGAGTGAGTGGGCTGCTGGAGCTGCGGCTATCTGAGGACACTGTAGGCCCGGGGAGGAACCGGTCGAGTGTATGAGCTCCATCATGGGTGAGACGGCAGAGTACCAGAGGCTGCAGGACACGTCAGAGTCCGACTACGAACGACTGCCCAGCGATGACGAAGAGGTAGACCCCTACAGTTTCCATCATTATAGTCGTGTGTGTAACACACAGCTGTAGACAAACATGGATGACATGTAAACAGCAGGCAGCACTTTCAGCAGGTATTACGTATCCTGCCAAAGGAATACTAAAGGGTGTGAGATGATCTAAGGTGTTGTTTTTGTGCTTTCGAGGGACGTGTATTGCTGAATGAAAAGGATTTTTTTTCTTAAATGTGTCCTTTGTAGAAAATTCGCAAATATGATTTTTGACAGTGACAGCTGGTCTCAGACATTCTGTGTGTTTTTTAAAGTTTTTTTTTTTTAATTACTTACTAACCGTTTGCCTCTGACAAAGCTTCAGTCAGGGAGACTGAATGGATAGTTTTTTACTCAGTTTTGTTAGAACCTGTGAATATAAGTCTTCTTCACAGAATGCATATTGTCATGGTGGATTTGTAAAATCACAAAGTGTGTGTGTGTGTGTGTGTGTGTGTGTGTGTGTGTGTGTGTGTGTGTGTGTGTGTGTGTGTGTGTGTGTGTGTGTGTGTGTGTGTGTGTGTGTGTGTGTGTGTGTGTGTGTGTGTGTGTGTGTGTTTGTGTGTGTGTGTGTGTAGTTATTGAAATCAGCTACATGAGGTCATGGATTAATTGCAGCTGGGGTTGGTGACAGGCTTTTTTTTTTTTTTACCCTCCCACCTTTTCCGCTTACCCCTACGTCCTCTGTCAAAGCCCATGATCTACCGACTTGCCTGTCTGTAATTTAAACTTGTATGGGGCCAGAAATCCCAGTCCTGCACAGTTGTAGGCCTGAACACATGACAAAAACCTGCAACCCGTGCAATAACGTTGTTCAAGAGTGCAAACAATAATTGAATTGTGCATATAGCTATAAGTTAACTACTGTTAAAAGCAAACAAAAGTAAGTTGATCAACTCCCAATTGTAAATACGTGTGTCTGCCTCTATAAGAAGGAATGAAGAGCTTATGTGAGTCCTTACAATGACCTAATGAACACATTCAAAAAGTGTGTTGTTAAATGCTCGATAATGATTATTTTCTTTAGTCATTTAGATTCATCTGTAAGAATATGTCTCTTAGTCAAACACAATCATGCATACACTAAACAGCATGCACTCCAGATGACCCTGATAACATACATCCTATATTATGGATTATACAGAGCACTAAGTAATCTATCCATGATTGTCAAAGCCAAAAAATCATATATGATTTCAAGCTGAAAGGGTGACCTAGAAAACCCCCAAAGCACATTCTTTATCCAATCAAAAATACATCCCAAGATTTTTTCATCACTGAGTGAGGAAGTCAGTGTTTCTCTCTGAGTTTTACAATCCATTGATCAGCTGCAGGTCGATCAGCCTGTGTCCATTTGTAAGTGATTGCTCAAAAAATATCCAGTTAGTTAACTTCATTCTCCAAACTCATTTCTCTTTAAAAGTTTCTTTTGGCAGACAATAATTGTGTTAGTGATTTGTTTGAAAAGATGGATAAGGAATGAAAAAGGACAGAAAGAGTAATTGTCTTCTGTCGGTACTGAAACCAAAATATTCTTTCTTGGCTGGCTCTTCGCTTTATACAAGCTGAAGTCCATTTCCCATTTAACGGGGTCTAAAAGTGTTATTGCTGTAATATGATTCAGTCTCCATTAAGTTTTGGGGAATGCATGATTTCTTAAGACTTATTTGTTCAACAAAATCTGTTTATAGAACTGAGTATTAGAAACTGTCGGGTTGCCAAAGCTGCATGGCTTTAATTCTCCTGAACTATTTTCTGTAAGTGGGTTGTTTTTAATTAAATTGTTACACCTCCAGTTTTAGGATATATTTCTATTGTTTCATTCAACACACTTCTTCCAGTTATCTGAGGTTTGAGGATTTAGTCTCTTGTTCCTCATAGCGATGGAAATGATCGTTTTGTACCAGCTCCTAAACTCAGTCTTCCAGCTCCTGCACAGGTTTTAGTCTGTATTAAAAATGGCCGCCTGATGATGAATGAGTCGATCTGTGTAACAGTTTGAATTTAGAGAAAGTTCTCTGTGTTCAGCCTTCAGGGTCTGTGTGCTTCTTAAATCACTGCACTGCATACTGGAGGCTTTATCCCATCAATCTCTAGTACAGCTGTATATTATGTTTGTGCTGGATACAGTGTAACACATCTCAATCAGTCACTCAGAGATTCTATAATGGAGCTGCCATTTTATTCCTAAATAATGCCGACCTGTATTGGACACAATGTTATGATTGTAGCATCTACCTCATTGTAGAAAAAAAATCTGCTTCATTCTTTGTTTCCCACGCTGTCTGCTGTCTGGGAGGTCAACACGACACTTGACCGACATTTTTAACCAGCTTTATGGGATCAAAGAGGCGATGATGAAGGTTGGCTGTTTTTCCGGGGTGGAGGCAACATTAGGAAGTATTAGTGGGGGTTGTTTTGGTTGTCTGGCATTATGCATATTAGGCCAAGCAGCCAAAAGAGGACACATATGTTGTGTTTTTTTTTGCCTTGAAGCAGTCTGTCCGCATCCCAAATTTCTTTGGATTCCCAGTCAGTTTTTTTTATTTCTTTTTACGTTGACGCCCACCAACACAAAACGCCTCTCTTCTGCTGATTCTGGGAAAGATGAGGTGCTGTGGATGGTGATGGGATTGAAGCTGAATGTAAAAGCCAGACTTTGGCAGAGGGTTTTTATCTGTGAGATCAGGAATGACGCTTCTCTCTGTGTCTGTGCATGTAGGCCTCGTCAGAGGCCTCGTCTCTAGGTGTTTGTGTTTATTTTCCTTGCACTGTTTTATAAGGGATTCATATCGTTTGCTCTACTGCTTCTCTTTGCTCTGCTGGTATTTGGCTGCAGACATAAAACTGCAGACAGATGTCTTGCCACCAAACGGTTGAGCCTTATTGAAGAGATGCTCTGGTAGCGTGTATCCACTAAGCTTTCTTAATTCCCGACATTTAATGTCAGTGTGAGACCAGCCAATGTGTGTGTGTGCCCCTGCATGCTTGTGTGTGTGAACAGTCAGCATCATATTTCAGAATCGAGCTTAGTATGTGTGTGGGTGTGTTTGTTCATAATGCATACCACACACAGCGCTTTGTTCTCCATAATCTTATTAGCCATGAAGCCACTAATTTGATGCCATTCAGGATAACACAATCTAAACGGTCAGACTTTAAACTCAAGCTTTACAGTATCAGCATCCTCTCATATTGCATTTGCACAGTTGAGTCATACTGCTGTGTGTATGTGTGTGTTTGTGTGTATTGTATATCTGTGTGTGCAGAGAGAGAATGAAAGGTTAAGGCCGGATTGTATCAGCTGGAGCGGCCTGCAGTAGCTGTTTCATTGTATGTATACTTCATTGTTAAAGTTTGACGGCTTGCAGAGGTTTATGTTTCTAGATTTTTCTGTCCATGTGATAACTGGAATGTAAAGATTTTTAACAATTAAGACTCATCCTAGCTCATCCTTGCTACAAATGAACTGAGAACTCATGTGAAACCAAGCTAGAGGCGGGAGCAGTGAGTTTCTGAAAATCTGGTTTACAATGAAAGAATTAGGCCTTGGTGTCTCTTTTTGTGCATTAAAATAACCGAATGCAGGTATCTAAACTGTGTGCTACTGCGGTTATGATCCCTTCACTTATAACAAAGATCACTCATCCTCCCAGCTGAGTCCTCCACCATCAGTGTGGCGCAACCTTGTGGTATCAGAGTGTAACTGCTGGTCATCCTACTCCTGAGCAGTAATCGTATTGGTTTAATCTGCTTATAGTCAGGAGGCAGCTGACGGCACTGTGACACATTCCTCTCTCTGATTTCAAGCCACCAAACACCAGTGTGACTTACATACACTGTTCAGAAAACCCACAAGTGATACAAACACATCCTCTCTTCTGCTCTGCAAAAACTCTGAAGTGATATTAAAGTGTTGCCTTGTTTTTGTTCTTTCTCTTTTCTTTCCCTTTTTATTGTTTTTTTTTTTTATGTTTGTTTTCCAGCTGCTGATTTGAAAGAATGTAGCCTATCTTATGTCATATATTTTATAGCCATAAGAGTTACATAACTGTACACTTAAGCAAACATCATTTCCTATTTGTCGAAGCAATAAAGTCAACTTCACGTTGACACATTCCTTCCAGGCGCACATTAGCCAAGTTGTAGTGAAAGAGAGTTTTGAGCAGAGATCAAGAGGACTTCTGGGAGTTTTGATTGAATTAATGGTAACACTCATTTCAGGGAGTTGTGTCCACACTGGGTGTGAGTATGTGACTGTGCTTGTGTGAACATGTGTTTGTAAAGGCAAACAGTGGGTGATGAAGGGTGTTCTTCTCACATCCTGTGTGCACAATGATTTAGGGACAGATGTGTGATGTCACCACCTCTGTGTGAGACAGAGCGCTGATCAAGTCCAGGAGGAATTTACTAACTCTATAAATAATGGACAGCGAGCCCTCTCAGCTGGCTTTCATAAAACACTTTTCAAAGCAGATCAAAGAAAAGCTACTGGAGTCAGTGGATGTTGAGGAGGCTTGCTGACTCCGCAACATACCGCACATGAGGGAGTGTTTGTATCTTTCTGTGTGTCACGAAGGAGTTTGTTCATTTAACATCACCAGCCGAGCTGCTTGCTTCTTCTTGGTTCTTTGAGTTTAGGAGCAGCCACACCTGTCAGGGAGACTTGCTGCTACACAAGACCTTAGTGACAAATTCAAAACATGTAAATAAAATCCGCCCAAATTCAGGAGTTCAAACTGATAAGAGCTGCTCCTCCTCACTATCCTGACTCTGAGTGTAGGGTGTTCAAAAGATTATTAGTAAGTCAGAGCGACAGTGGCTCAGTCTGTAGGGACTTTGTTTGGGAACTGGAGGGTCACCGATTCCAGTTACGGTTCGTACCAAGTATAGAATCGGGACTGGTTGCTGGAAAGATGCCAGTTTTACTGAACCTCCAACTGCCTGGGGTGCCAGCCCTCTGACTCTGACATCTCTGAGCAGGAT